GCAAATATGCGAAGCAGCTGAAACATTTATTTTTTGCTTGATGTATGGGTATTCCGCTTCCATAGATCATAGCTACATTTGGAGATTTCAGCACGTAGTGTGTAATGAATGGAATTTCTGATTGGGATAACTTAAACGCTGTGATGATTCGCATAGGCATGAGTAGATTTCGCAATAAATTTACCCGCCTAAAGGTTTCACAAGAGGAGTGGATCCGCAATTAGTACTAAAGCAAAAAAAATTACGTTTATGCGTGGCCTACCTGCTTCTTTTTTGAAATAAATGAAAAATTAAAAACCTTCTGTTCCAAGTAACTTGTTTAAAATTAAAGTAGGAATTGATATTGCTTCCGTTCTAGTATATTACAAGATTTCTACTAACTAAAACAATCGGATGAATTTTTTGATTCTTATGTCTGAAAGCATGGCAATTCTCCATTATAATTATTTATCTGCAATATGTTAAAATCACTTCATGGCAAACATTGACACACCTGTTGACACCGCGTCGTAATCCATTCAAAAATCTAGTTCTTGAAGATGACCCCACAAACGAGTCATTAACCGTTTTAACAGGCCTTTTCTGCCTTGGCTCAGTAGCTAGACTGGTCGCAGTTCAGACAATATCACCCAAGTCGTTGAGTACGAGGGCCTACTTGGTCTACCTGCTGAAATCATATAAGTCCGACACCGTTCGTGAAGTGATGTGTACTCAAGTGAATAAAAAACAATACTTATCGGCCTAACTGTCCACGGTCCTAGTAAGCAGACAGGTTAAAGTTTCTTCAAAGTGCATAGCAATAACCATTGCGTTTGCACATTTCAATCTATCCACAAAATCAGTGTGTCAAAAAGACGCTTCAATCAATTAATAAATAAAGTGTGCTCGCGCATTTTAAGTCCATGTATTGAACATGCACCAACACTCTAACGTTTGTTAACGAACACTGCGTTAACTTGTAAATTGTCCGACAAAATCGAAATTATGATGCAGTCTATGTTGTTCGTTTTAAGATTGCGAGGCAACACTTGGTTACTATTTGATAGAATCTTCAGACAAGTGAAAACAAAGTATGAATTCGTTAAATACACTAACAAGTGTTGATTACTCAAACGCAACACAGAAGCCATTGACGAGGATAAATAATGACGCAGAATATTGGAATGGGATAGGTATCAACATGTTCCTCAAAAACCGCAGGTCTAACAGTGGTGAGGTAATATTTCCACCTGTTCCGTGCTGACTACGTGTAACCGCAAATGACTGGAAGGAATTTAATCATAGTTGACTTATACGTCAGGCAGAATTGGAGATACGCCAAATAATGGAGCTAATCGTATTAAACTATGTACATCAACCCAAGTTAGGTGCTAAGGTAGTTCATTGACATTAGCAGCCACATAAATCGAGTGCGCTAACAGCTGGTGACTGCGTTGTGTCGCATAAGACAAAATGTAATATTTAATGTATCAATACTTGATTCACCGATCCTAGAGAGATCGCTGCGATGACTATGCCTGTTGTTGGTGCCGTTTTTCTAGTACTCGGGAAAGTGTATCCGCTTGGACCATGCCTTTGTAGCCGTATGCTCAATACAAAATCATAAACGACAAGAGAGATGGCCGAACGCCTTAGTCTGTTCGCGGTATAGACACTTATATCAGACATCGATGCAAATGTGACTAAGAGCGGCATGTGGTCGGTAAAGAAATTGAACATAACTCCACACGACATTATGTACAATTTATTCATTGCGAAGAATATTGTTAACGCCCCATTCTCCAATGCCCGTACTTCCGTTCGGCTGGTGACAACGCCCCGACTGCATGTGCGGTCGCTTTTTCTGAACCGTTAGCGAAACTGTGAGAGATAACTGCCCCAATGCCGTGGTTCGATGCCTATGCTGCCACCACGATTTCTAGTAAAGAGACGTAATGTGTTAGCAAGAAGCCATTGGGTCTATGCTTAAATGTTGAAATGTGAAGAATCCAGCTTCCAAAGCTTGTTTTTAAACAAGCCTGGGTTAGAAAAGATAGACTCATTGGCTTAGTGATGAAACTGTGAGACATCCGAGTTGCTACAGTCTGTGTTGTCAATGAATATCGAACCTATTTGACCCCACTTGAAGGAGCTAGCTGGCCTGTCTAAGAAACAAATTATGTCAGCCGGAAAGTGATACCACCCTCGATCATCATTAAAGTGGATCTAGGATTATCTCGGCCACGACAGCAAGGGAGATTGCAACAGCATCCAATGTTTGCAAAGATTTTTTTGCTCTAATTGATCGCTGTTGATTCCACAATTTTGAGGCGTCTCCTCTGCTCATTAGGATATCATTTCTGCACGGTATAGAAACTGTTGAATGCATCCTCGTTAAAAATTTTGTGACAATTTTAAATTAGATAGTCCAGGACGGAATTTCTGATAATTCCGGCAGTGCCTTTTCGTAGAGATTAGGAACAGTGCTCAGCTATCCTTATCGACCGACGCCTGGCTGCATGTCCGAAGGACTTAGCATCACCGGTGCAAGCGTATTGACCTACCGCGTGGGATTCGGGCTTGGCCGTAAGTTGTCTTTAAGGCGCTGAGTAACAAATGCATTGGTCTCATTAAGAACATGTGAATTTGTGACTCCGTAAATTCTCGTCACTGCAGCGGAAAGCGTTCTATTCAGTAAATCAAAAGCGATAGCATTCCTAGTAAGAACCGTGAGAAACACCCTTTTTTGCAACTGTGATGACAGACTAAATTGGTTCGCGATCCACAACATGTGTTTTGATAAAAAATGAGGGAAAACGGTTTGAGCTGCGTTATACATTTGAGCTTTTCTCGTCTGCTGGCTTCTCTGTGCTGTTCGTTTTAGTGACTCAGTAGTGAATGCAGCGATATAAGACACGTATGTACCTCAGACGCACTATACTCAGAAAGTGCGTACATTGTTTAATCCAAGAATTCTTACAGGAAATGATTATCTCTTCCCTTACCAGCAGTAGTATGTCTAGGAATCATAGCTTTCCTTATTTCCGATTTATTTGCTAAACCACCATAAAGATATAGCATTGTTGACTTGATCAAGTAAACCAATAACATCAGCGCTCGAAGCACAGAGCACAAACGTGTCGTCCATATACCCGCATTTGACATACAATGAAGTAAGAACAAGTTGAATAGGAAAAAGTTCCAGCTTTGCGAGGAAGACGGCGGGAAGCTACGAGTGGCGAACCCGTAGCAACCACGGTACTGTTTTCCAACGAACGGAAAATGACTGCCAAAGGTTTATTGCCGGATTAGTCCCTTCAGTTTCGGCAACGAAATACCAAAGGTTATTATTTTCTCGGTTTTTTATCCGCAAACATTTGGTGGTCACCAGCAACGGGACGTTAGTAAGGACATTCCACATCAAGGGATTGCATCAACAAAACGTCAAAACTCAATACAGAAACTGTGCAACAATTTAAATACATCCGTTGGACAGCTATGAATATCTCATTTTTACTGATGCCAGTAATACGACAAGACAAGTTGCAATATACCGGAGAGCGGAAGTCGATTTATAAATATTATGAAGTCAAGAATACTAAGGTTTCGGTTATTTAGGAAACATTGAAGGTAGCGATGAAAGCCAGCAGGATTTGTTCAATCAAATATATTAGCAAGTGAAATGTTTCGTGCAGATTTTCGTCGCGAGTCTAATCCATTTTCATTACTAAAAGTTAAACCAAGAAAATCCTAGTTAACGCCGATAAAAAGGAAATAGATATACGCGTTGATATCACATACGGCGGTAGATAACGTTGCTAGTGTCGATCCTGTGCGTTTGTTACGCCTTCCTCAGTAGTACAATACGTGCATGCTCTGTTTAAAATGAGGTGACTCATGAATTCACTTGAAGCGATTGAAGCTGAGCCAATAGATCAGCATGCAGCACTCTGCTCAAATGTTATGTAAGTTTATTGCAGAAAATAAAATCTGAATGGATTAAGCCTATATCATGAGTTACTTGACTTAAAAGGTCATATTAGTAGACTAGCACCAAATACTCTAATAAGTGGCTATGTTGAGATTTATTAACTAAAATGAGTGGGTACAGTAAAAACTAAAGTTTCTTTAGTATATTCATGATACCACTACATGATTTGCATGTCTTTAACTGGATTGTATTCCTCAATACTTTTTCAACCACCATCTTCCCGTTTTGATACAGCAACTGCAAGTTTTATTGCAGCAGAGTAGGTGACGTTTTACAAGGACATAATTCAGTTGTCAAGTACTGCAATACGCAAGCCATCGAAGCTGATGTGGGCGGAAAATTTGAGCGGGATCCTCTCCCTGGTGTTAGAGCGCACTTGGTTTTATAAGCTTTAGTAACAATGTGCACAAAAAGTACCTATCCAAAATTGGTAACCAATAAGACGACATCATCGTCTATCCATGCGTCAAACAGAAACGTAATCGCTTTTCGGTGAACGAGCGAGCACACTAGGGTATAAAATAAGTATTTTGAGCAAAGCAAGCAAAATTTATGAAAACCTTTAGCACAACTACCCTTGAATGTACCGTAGTCCCTATGTGTGACATTGGTATAACTAAAACAATTTCAGTTTATCAGAAAAGTACGAATCAAGTACAAATGTGCACCCATTCAAAATATCATACACCACACTAAGCTAAACATAAAAAGTGAATTTTATTAAATCAGCCAAATAATAACATCCTAAAGGTAAAAGATTGGATGAGTTACGAGATTTCATCCTGCGGTTGCTGGAGGTTTTATGACTGGATAGCATATTTAGCATGGTCTAATAAAATGCCGACTTGTTATGTTTACACATGAAATACTTACATTTGATAGAAAATATTTGTGACTCCACGGGTCAAAATCAGTTTAATTTCACTTCCCACAAAATTTCGCTGTAGTACATCAATATTCTCTACAATGGAAAATAGTGACTAGGCACTTATAGCTCAATAATTGCTATCTGTATAACCTTACTCCATAGGTAATGGTAACACAACAACGAATTCAACGTCACCAACCATTACGGTTGCTGCACCAACAACCGGTAAGCTACAAGTATTTATATTGGATGAAGGCGAGCTAATTTGGTCTTGTAGGTTTGAGTAATTCGGAAATTTCATAAATGGTATTATTTGACATAGCAGCACTTTTAGAAAAACGATATGTCCTGAGAAACATAGTAATAGACTTAACTTCGTGTTAATGTGCACAAAAGCGCTTCACTCACTAGAAACATCCGATTTCAATTGGATTTCTATTCTGACGTTGTTATGAGGAAAAGGTGCAGGTATAAATGCAGGCTCATACACTCGAGGTAAGTACATGCATTTTGGCATTCGGCTGAAAGGAGGTGTGACATTACCCCTCTATATATTGCTGCTGCCTATACTCCAAATATATCCAAGCTTATTTGGCACAAAGAGAACCAATTCCTGACAAAGAAGATCGCAGTTACGTCTAGCAATTAAAGTTGCTCGACCCTGAGCAAACTGTCTAGGTGTTCATCGAGCACTTTTATGTCCAGAATGAAATGTACTTTATTTTGGCTCGGCTAATCTAGTCAACATATGGCCCTAAAGCGCTTTTAATAACCGATTTTAAAAATTCGCTTCCGACCATCAAATCAACGGATAAACATAGCCAGCGAAATCGCCTGAAGTGTGTGGCAAGCATCTTTGGGACATTGGATTAATCATCTTGGCATCTTGGTCAAAAGTCGATGAGAGAATATTTATGATGGAACCAACGTCGAAAGAAATTAGACTATGGAGCATATTTACAACCGCATAGCTCGACTTATCTCACGAGATTTCGTCAATGGACAGGAGGTGCTGGCATACGATATCAGAAGAACAAAATCCTCTGGACACCTGGATCGTTTGTAAAATGACATGACCATGTCTGCTATGTTGGCCAAAGTTAATGACAAATATGTTCATCACATCAATCAACTCAGGAGTTAAAGTTCATTCGACACACGCTGCCCAAACCATGCATCTCGAACTACTTCTGGATGGATGCCAAGTGTCATCGACAGAGCATACTCAACATGATAAGCGCATCACTCCACCAACCATTCCTACACTTGATTGTCAGACCAGAGGAGCGACGGATCATCGCCGTGTTCCTGGCAAGCCGCTCCAGGTCAACCCCAGGCTGAAAGCAAATAACATTGGACTTCAAACATGGAGCTGTCAGGAGGGTGAAGTAACAAATAGAGCAATGCAACCTAAACCTATCAAACGTTAGTGGGTTTCCAAAATCAAGCAGGATAATCGCATGGGTTAAACAAAATAATGTTCTCTCAAGTTTTAATCGTACTACTACTAATAAAGTATAGTAGTGAATTCGGAACACTTAGTAAGGGCGCCACGAAAAATTAAATGTCCGACTCTGGGTTCTGTGATATATCGTAGCTGGCAGCAATTAAACCGTGTCTACAAATTTTCCTTTTTCGATCGGCCGATTTTTGTGAGCAGCCAATCGGAGCAGCCGAGCTGACCTGGATTAACATAAAACTATTCAGCCAGTAAAGTACATCTTATGTATTGAACTTGAGTATACTCATTGTTTGTTCACAAACAGAATGCCTAGTTTTGTAAGGATGTATTTCTGACCCAACGTATCAAAATCCTTGTAAACTCTCTTTCATTGATATGTTGAGTACGTACATCAATATTGTCGACAAGAGAAACAGTGACTGGTCGATGTAGTTTAATACTTTATATCTGGCAGATTGTCCCGAGCAGTCAATCGATCTTGCTGTATCGAGCTGGCTGACCATAACACTATTCAGCCAATTAAGTAGCTTACATGTAGTATTATTATGGATAAGAGTAACATGCTCAAGTAGGGAATGACTACTTTTGTAAGGAAGTAATTCTACCCAACAAATCATAAGCAATTTTATTTCACTTTTCATCATTTTTCTTTTTCTCATTATTATCATGGAAATAGAAACCTGACTAGCGTTCGGTAGCTCAACACAATTTATCCGTTTATTCTTACTTCATAGGTAATACCAGCATAATGATGAATTCAACCTTACCAACCCCTACAGCTGCTGCGACAACAACCGGTAAGCTTCAAGAATATTTTGTATATGAATGCCAGATAGGTTAGCCGTATACGGCTTGAGTTTTTCTGAAAATCCATGTGTAGAATTAGTTGACTTATCATATCTTTTACGAATGCGGTATGGCACCAGAAATAAAGAAGTTATTTGCGCGGCGTAACCTAATTCGCAATAATGAGTTTCACTAACTACATAGATCTAATTTTATTTGGAATTCTACCCTAATGTTGTTATGGTGATAAAATTGTTGTAATAAAAGCCAGGCCATACTATCGACGTAAGTTCACGAATGTTAGCCTACGGCCGCTAGGATATCTGACGTTATCGCTCTGTATATTGCTGTTGCCAATACTCCAAATTTATTCAATTCTGGCTGCTTACCAGGCTACCAATTCATAACAGGGAGACAGTCTCAGTTACATGTTTCAAAAAAATTGATTGTAATCGAGCTAAGTTTGCTTTACTTAGCATTGGTAGATAATCGCAATCCCAGTAACGATTTCACATGGAAAGTTTTTAGACCAAAAGCAAAATTTTAAAGTGTTAATCGCCCCGTTTCATGCCTAAAATGAAATGGACTTTAATTTTGCTCGACTATACTAGTGATAAAAATGACGAAAAATTAAGCGAAATTTTAACGGATCGAAATTAGTTGATCAATAGCCTATGAAATATTATTTTGCATTACATTATTTACACTAGATTAGGCGGTGTGTAAACGACCAGAAAACTCAGGAATTAGAGTTTTCCTCGTTCGGCTGTAGAGAGTTTGAACTGGATGAGACTGATGTTATGTGATGGCTTGCTGCGAATATCTAACAGCACCAGATTTGGATAATCATCAATACATCTAGCCAACGGCAACAACCTCTTGGCTAGTTTGACCGCTGCCTCCGCTTTTCCATTTGGCTGGCTCTGCTCCAAGCACTTTGGTCGATGCAAAATTCAACTGTCTTGCGACGGTTTAGAAAGCAGTACCTCTTAATATTTTGTCCTTGTCGAAGATGAATTCCTCTGGTATTCCGTTTTTGGCGAAGGGATATCTAAGCACATTGCTGACTGCTTCCGAAGTGGTACTGGTGAATGAATTGACCTCGAAATAGACAATTTATTAGTCCATTGAAATTAAGCGAAGTGTCAGTGTTAATCGCGCCGTTTTATGCCTAGAATGAACTGCACTTCAACTTAGCTCAGTTAAGCTAATCTAACGAAAGACCGATTATTGAAGTGAAATTTCAATAGACCAAGTTTTTAGTTATCCTTTGCCGCCAAGAAGCTTTGATTTTCTCCAACAGAATTGCCAATGTTCTCAAGTTATAGCATAAACTCTACTGGTCGTAGCATTATATTCCGATGTTACTTAGCACGTAAGATTAGTTTGCCATAATCTTATGATTATTTTTCTTAACACCAAGTCTACGTCGTGTAAATATACTGTCACAACCTATACAGGCTGCTTCCTTTTGCCAAATAAATTTAAGGCAATATTGTAAAACTCGTAGCTAACTATTGTCTGCTGCTGGGCATTGAGAAATGATGACTTGGCCGAGACGAGTGATTGTATTATCTTACGTCCTCACGCTACAGAAACCAGCAAAAGTCACCCATCATAGAAGGCTTGTGCTTGCCACTGTGACGATGTTCGATGACTTGAACGTCTTGGTGAAAGCCCTTAAAATGTACATTGCTAAGCGATCCCATATTTTCAGAGAAAAAACCAAGAGAATATTAAAAATAGTGATTCTAGTGTGACATCGGATGACCAACGCGCTTATCTATGTTGCATTTGTGGTGCCTAAAAACCTGTACAAACTACATTGAATGATCGCCACGAGTCTAACTCACATGAAATCAGCTGCCATTCGAAATACTTGTCTGCGGTTACCCGGCGAATATTAAGCCCAATAAGTGTACCTTCTTGGAGCATCGCATCACTGATCTACGGAAACATATGTTTTAGGTACTGGAACCAAAAGCCATCTCGCCTGTTGTCTTTTACGAATTAATTAATGAAAGCACCCTTGGTGTACATGGGTGGTAGGTCGATATTATCAGGTTGCACAAGAGATGTATGCTTTACACTCCTTTTCCCTACAACTTACTCCGTGCTCTTTGGCCAATTTTTTGCTTTTTACTGCGGTTAAGTTGCTCTAATTTGCAATAATTTTGAAGTATCTTTGCATATTAGTTAGGAATCCATGGACTTTGAATAGCGAAAGTACTTCAAAAATACTTACCCTAATTCATTGCGGCGAGTACCTGCTGCATACTTTCGTATTGGTGGCATGCAACAGACACACAGTTGAGTACACTTTTCCATTGTGGAGCAGTATGGCCTAAAGAATACGCTTGCACGGGCCAATGAACGCAAGCCATTCGTCACTGATATGTCGCACATCAAGCTCCTTCTTCAAGCCTTCCATGTCGGAACAGTAACAGAATGTCCGCACGCGTCATAGCAACCGGACAATTTAATACTTCGCTTTCTTAATGTAGTAAACTCACTTTTTGCAGCAAGTAATTGCCACTGCTGCAACTGTGATGTCAGTATCTCGGCCTTTTGTCTTCAGGCCAGCCTAAGTCACCTACCAAGTCATTTAGCTCCTATTGTTCAATAAGATGTAAGTTGACAACATCCGCTTGAATGTTTTCATTGATCTAAGTCTCAGGGAATACTGAGGATGCGAAACCACTACTCATCCTCGATGATATGTTCACGAAGGCATTGGAATGAGTAAGGTGCAACCATGAGGAACATATCGATTAGCTAATGAGACATCGGGGTAATTAATTTGTCCTTTTTTCGGAAGAAGATTACAATGCGTGCTGAGGAGGTTGAGCTGATCACTACAATGCTTATGGAGAAGGGCTGCTCAAAGCGATTTATATACAATCATAACCAGGTTAGACCGCCGAAGGAAATGGTGTTGCCAGCCCCATGGAACAATGTGTACATTGAGCTAATAATCAAGTGTGACGCCACTGCAAGAAGGTTAAACAAACGCATTGCCTCGGCCATTCAGCGAACGTACTGTGTTGTGATGGTGGTAATTATCAACAAAACCCAAAAATTGCTGTTACCTTTAGTAAAGGAAGCTGAAATTGTCGGCGCCAAATTATACTGTTTTAAGCAATTCGTTTGTGACCCCGGTATCAGTTACTTCGGCAGACATGAAAAGGCTGTAGATTCCAGAGTGGAGGAATACTTATAAACCTGGGGTCTGCGCGAAGTTACTATATCCATTTGCGACAATACTTGCTCGTGTATGCCGCCAGAGTCCTCCATAGGCAGACACATCTTGGCGACTCGTCACCGAGTTAATCCGTTATCGGCGTTCCCGATTTTGAGGCGTCATTCGAAATCACGCCTTTTGCGATTTGTCGAGGCCGTCGCAATAAGCCAAATTAGACCAGCTTTGTTTGTTCAAAAGCAATTAGTTGTCAACGCTCAGTTACCGTGGTCCCAATTCCAATAACAAAGACGACAAATATAAATTGGATTGGCTAGATTGTGCCCGATAAGACAAAAAGGATTTTCCTGTTTTTGTACTGGCACTGACGTGATAATACAAAATGCTAGCCTATGCTAATATTCGTCTTCTCATTTCGTGGTTCAACTCATAATACTTTGCATTAATATCATCGACAAAAAAAACAGTGGCTAGCATTCTGTGGTTCAACACATTTTCTCTGTTTAAACTTACATCATAGGTAATGACAGCACAACAGTGAATTCAACCACACTAGCTACTACACCTGCTGCGGTAACAAACGGTAAGCGGAAATTATATTGTATAAATGAATACCAGCTATGTTAGTCTTATACAGTTTGAGTTTTTCTGGTATTAATTGGTTTATCAGGTCTTTTAGAAATGCGATATTGCAACAGAAACAAAATAGCTTTTTTCACGGCGTAAGCTCATTTGAATAAATGTGCTGCACCCGCTACACATATCTGCTTTTAACTGGAGTTCAATCATGACGATGATATGAGGATAAACATGTAGGTATACATGCAAGCTCATACACTCGACGCAGGTGCATTAATTTTAGCATTCGGCTGCAAGATGGTGTGATATTACTGTCCTGGATATTGCTGTTGCTGATCCTCCAAATTTATCCAAGCCAATCTTGCCTCAAGTGAAACAAATCATATCAAAACTTTTGCAGATAGATCTTTTTCCTTAGTTTGCTCGTCTCACAGCAGATTGTCGAGGTGCTAATCGCGCAATGTTTTGCCTAGAAATAGCTAAACTTTACTAATACTAATAATTGGTATATTTCCCTTGAGGTGAGAAACTGTCTCTATAGCTGCACAGATCAATTTATTCAGAAGCAACCATGCTCTTACATGGGTGACATGCGTAGTTAGAGCATGGAGATATGCGTTTTGTGTTTCTGGCAGATGATTAAGGTCAAAGCTTTGTTATAAAAACAGTGGTGTTTCTAGGTTTTCGATGAAGTTATTCAACAGAACTGCGACTAACAGGCATTCATAACCGTCTCGTAAAAGGTTCCTGGAGGCCTTCAAACCAATCGCTAAGCGTATTCAGCAAAATCTACTGAAGTTTGTGATAATCGTCGTCGGGACACGTGATTCCTCATCTTGAACTTCGTGCCAACAGCCGACGTCAGTTTAATCTTTTTGAAGTGCATTCCTTAGCCAAGCGCTGCTGATAATCTTGCAACGCCCTCAGTGAATAGACGTCTCTGTATACATTTACTTTGAATGCCTTGGACCGCATGCACAAAGGTAAATCACTTATTTTTTCTTAACAATGCCAAATTTCTGAACCCTGTCTGTCGAATCATCGACATCAGTGATTACGCGAGGTTAGTAATTTTTGGCAACTCATCACGTATTGCAAACCGAACAATTCCGCCGACAGCGCTGTTGGAGGCATTGACTATAAAATAGAAATATCCAACCCTCACAATCCTGGGCTAAACACTAATGGGTACTGCGCAAAAATATCTGTCTCCGCTGGACACGCATGCCGGAAAAAATTCGTTTAAAATATGCAGATCTTCGACACTAGATGGAATCAAGTCTGAGAATCGGCGAAAAATCATCCTCTACGACCACGTATTGCAACTGATGTGAAACGCCCTCTTTTGGATTGAGTGTTTTGAATGTGAACAATACAAGAAGCTTGAAATTGGAACCGTTCCGTATGCACACGGATCCCTGATCAGGTCACAAACGAATTGCTGGGCACCACTTCCCTGGAATGATGTTGATGGTAGTACCGGTGTCTAATTAGAAAAGCACGAGTTCGTCACCAACAAGTGAACTTGCGTAGATGCACTTCTTTGGTACCGTCCGCGACAGGTTGCTGATTGAACGCTCAGGGTTAACGAGCGTTGCGTTACAATTATGTGCATTCAATTCGGAAGCTTGGCAGCATCGAGCGAAATGATTTCATCTCCCAGGTTTGACGCGAATTTTACCCCACCCAGAAGATTGATCACGATCCATCGGGTGTGTGGATTTCTGAACAATAAATGAAATCTCTTGTAGTCATCTCTTTCCAGCGTCATTAGTTGCATGTATTTTTGATAGATTGCAACAGTCGAGGATATTCCTGGTTATTGGTTTGTGGTCTAGGTACAGGAAGCTAGCGATCAAAAAGCAAGACGGAGAAAACACGGCATTTACTTTCGACACAAGCAATAGCAAGTTGAAAGGATGCTTTTTGTATCATCGGGAACCTCGTTTACCCTTTGAAGTTTAATGTTTCGTTTCCCGTATGTCTTAGAGAACGTGGCGGTGTACAGGGTTGATATCTTGGTGTGGAGCCAATCAGACACAGACCACAGCGGTCATCTGGAAGCATTACAAAAACGGTTAGCATTCAGGGCTCAGCATAAATGGACAAAAGACCCAGCTTGGAAAGACTTGTGTCACCGTATTGGGCCGTCAAGTATGACAAGGTGAACTGAGGCCAATGCCTGAGAAAATATTGAAAATAAAAGGCACCGCAGTTCCTACCTTAAAGCGCACACTCCAAGCATTCCTTCGCAGTGTTGGATTCTGTAGCAAATTAGTTAAAGTATTCAGCATTTTAGCCTCACCTTTGTACGAGCTACTGAACCAGGAGAGGATATACAGTTGGATTGCAGAAGCCCAACATGCATTTAAACATAGTTTACACGAAATGCGACCCTAAAATTGCCCATTGCTAGAGTGATGTTCACGGTGGACACCGACACCAAAGACGTTGGAGTCGATGAGGTGTTAGATCAACGCCATGGGATGATTGCGTACGCCAGCAGAAGTTGGACACTGGCAGAAAACAAATAATCATCCACAGAGAAGGAATCTCTTGCAAAAGTGTGGGAGTTGGACAAATGGCGGCCACATCTGCTAGTTAAGCGATTTCATGTCGAAATGAACCACAGACCAGAGGAAAACTTGCGCGATGGGCGCTGCGCTTTCAAGACTAGAATTTTACGATAAAACAAGTGCCATTAAATGAAGACCAAATTGCAGATTGTTTTTGCCACGCGGGATGAACCGAGATGACCTGGCGAGTGTGGCTTCCGGTATTCATAATATATTGTTACAACGGGATCCTGGAGTGTTGGCGGCCGAACAACTAATTGACAAACTGTTAAATATCACAAGCACCGCATGAATAAACGGTTAAATAACTCATAAATGAACACCAACACAAGCAGCTAAGAATGTTTGCGAGGAACCTTGAAAATGGAAAGGAAATGAAGCCAGGACCCGAATGTGGATACCAGGTGATATCAACAATTTGGTGCCGGTCATTCCAACAGAACTAACGCGCAGGCTGGTGATTTCTTGTCACCAGATAGCGCACACCGGTTGCGACAGGACCTGTGTTCTGCTGGACTGAAGCATCAGGAGTTTCGGATCAACGGGCGACTATCATTACCCATGCCGTCATGAGATATTTGGTTGCAGATCATGGAGATCTCAAATGTCATATAAATAGACCAGAGCCCGTGCTTCGAGATTAAGGAATTACGGAACTGGGTAGAGGAACTTGGTTTTAAAGCAGGGCGGACAACCCAATACCACTGGCAACGTAATAATAGAACGATTTAAGCGTCGCTAGTGGATGAGGGTTAAGGATGGTAGGAAACGTTGCCATTGCTGTCGCTGACCCACCTAGCATCTAAACAGACCTCCACAAAGAAATCAGCTTTCCAATTTATGTACCGTCGATCACTTCGCCTACATGTAGATCTAGAGTTTGGAATGTGCCATACGTGACAATTATCTCCCAGCCGGGTACAGTATAACAGCAATGCAGCCTACCGTAAACTGAAAGCAACTCAGACGCTGAGAATGGAGAACACTCACACTCGCATTTGTTGGACGAGTGTCCGGTTTCCGATCCCTTCGTGGGACCAATCCAGTGAGCATTACCGCGCTTCCGATTTTGCCCAGGGGAGAAGAAATTCTTACAGAAATGGAAGGACCGTACGCAGTGGTCAACTGGCGTGACCCAGTATATACATTTACTCAGCAACGATATTCACCGCGAATATATGCCAGTGAGTTAAGCAAGTTGTATGGGTTGGAGAAGGAAACCCTCCTGCCCAGTGAGCATCATGACAGTCAGGAAGAGTGCTAACAAAGAGAGCTAGAGCGGGAAATATTGTGGGATTTAGGCGACGGAATAAAGCAGACAGCACTGCTCCAGTTCTTAGTAGTTTGACATTGCCATGATGTGGAACAGCAACCAGCGATCGGTAGGTTGTAACGACTTCTTAATGCTTAGGAATTTTTTAAATCCGAGTTATATGCGCAGGAGGATCGGAAGCATGGGCAGAAAGAATGCCGTTCCTTGTAACTCCCAAAAATGAGTGTAGCAATGAGTGGCGCTCTAGTAGGCGAGAACCGATGCACCTGGCATATGTTTCAAACAATAAGGAATTTTGCTTGCAGTTTAGTTTTATAGATTCATGTAGGTGAAGGTGCGTAGGCGGCTAATCATTGGCTCCGTTCGCTTGCGACATGCTTCCCTCCCAAAAAAGCCGTCACTAACCGTTTTAACGCGTTTCCTGCCGCGACTCACTTGTTAGAATTATCGCAGCAAAGGCATGGGGTTAAATGCTCTGCTACGTCTACCTGATGAAATCAATGATCGAGACCGTCATTGAAGCGAAGTGTTCTCAAACCATTAGTGTAATCTGTCTACACCTTCATAGTTTACGGCCCCAGTAAACAAATTGAATAAAGTTTGTTTAACGGCGTATATCGGTACACACTGCGATTGCGCATTACAATCCATCCACAAATCAGTTTGTCAAAACCACGTTCAAATCAATTAATACACATATTGTGCTCGCGCATTGTGTCCATGTATTAAATGTGCACCAGCACTCTGAATTTCGCTAAAGAACACTGCGTTAAACTGCAATTTGGCCGACAAAATCAGAATTATGATGCAGCTAGCGTTAGGGTGTTGTTCTTTTCGAAATGGCGAGCACTTATTTGGTTATTACTTGATTAAACCTTAAGACAAGTGAAGTCAAAGCAAGGATTTTTTAGATACACTAAAAAGTGGTGATTCTTCAGACGAAACAAAAAGTCGTCGACAAGTATAAAAATAACGCAGAATGTTACAATGGGATAAACATCAACATGTTTCTCAAAAGCTGAGGTAACCTTTCCACCTTTTCCGGACTGACAATGTTTGACCCCAAATGTGTGGGAGGAATTTGAACATAGTTGACTGATTCGCTCAGGCAGGTTTGGAGATACACCAAATAATGGGGCTAATCGTAATAAACTA